TTGAACCACCAGCCTTCTGGTTAGCAGTCAAGTGCCTTAGGCACTATACTACCAGAGGTCCTTCACAGTCACCTAGGAAGACTTAAAAATGCAGTGCTTGTGGAAAACTTTTTGACAGAATCTTAATAAGTTTAACATAGAATTACCATATTGTTGTTGGTTGTGTCCAGTTGGCTCCAACTCATGACTGCCTAAATGTTGCCTGGGCCCTCTACCAGCTTCATGATCACTAGTATGTTTGAGTCTGTGGTTGTGGCTGTTGGGTAGTAACTTCTAACCTAGGGGGCTCATCTTCCTGCACCGGTCAGACAGTATTCTCTTGTGATCCATAAGGTTTTCGTTGGCTAATTTTCAGAAATAGATCACCACACCTTTCTTCCTACTTTGTCTTCATCAGGAAGCACCATTGAAACCTGTCCACCGTGCTGGTATTTGAAATGCCAGCATCATAGCAACATACAAGCCACCACAGTAGAACAAACAGACGGATGGTGGAGAATTACAATGTGATCCTGCAATTTCCCTCATTGGTATACATCCAGAAGAACTGGAAACAGTGACTCAAACAGACACACATACACCAGTGTTCATTGCAGCATTGTTCCTAATAGCCAAAGGGCAGAAACAACCCAAGTGCCCATCACCGGATGAATGGATAAACAAAATGTGGTATATACAAATGATGGAGTATTTTTCAGCAGTAGAGTGAAATGAAGTTCTGTTACATGCCACCCCATGGATGAAATGTGAAACTGTTATGCTAAGTGAAATAAACTGGGGAAGGGGAAAGCATGCCAAGGCAATTTATGAAAGCATGTTTTATTAAAAAAACAAGTAATACTCTCCACTCCCCTCAAAAACAGATAAACAAAGGACTAACCTCCCCAATGATTCTGATTAAGTGGGTGTGAGGAGGAGATTGAGAATCAGTGCTTTATGTGATTATGTTTAAACTTGTGAGGTTTCTAGGATGATGTTATCTCCATTGTTGGAATGATTCCCACTCATAGTGACCCTTAGGATAGGACAGAGTAGAACTAAAACTAAAACAGGTGCAGGGACTCACCTGTGACCAGCTAGTTAATGGTCATTAATGGCTAGTGATTCCAGCCCAGGTGTTTGGTATCTCTAGAAAGAGACAATGGTGAGAACGGGTTCACTGAGAAACCAAGTTGGATTTCCTGTTGCCATGATGGCAGTAAAGAGGTGTGAGCACATTGGAAGTAGTCCCACTCCGATTCTGTTTGTGCTGTCCGTCCCATCATTCCTTCTGTGCTTTCTACTTCTGCTTCCTGCCCTCCTCACCAGTCTGAATTCTTCTCCAGGATGTACTTCATATCTTCACACTGAGGGGTAAAGTCCTTTGGATGGAACAAGACAACCAGGTTTTGGGCCACCTTTTGTGTGTGAAATGCCTGTCTTGTGTGACTCAGATAGGTTACAATGTATTTGCTACTGAGATGTTTCTTTTGTTTTGTTTTTTCTTTGTGGCATTTTTGTATAGTAAGTGTTTACAGGAAGCTATCACGGACCCTAGGTGGCATACGGTTGGGCTGTAAGCCAGTGAAACAAATGGAATATTTGGGTTCAAGTCTGCATCAAGGCCTCTCTGGGTCCTGTCTAAGCCCCATCACCATTGGCTGCCCTTCCTTCTTGGAGCTCTTCTCTTGCCTTGTGATGTGACCCGCTGCTCTTTTGTCTTTGGCTACTCATGCTTTCTTCTCTGACCCGCTAAAATGAGTGTTTCCCCAAAGGCCGTTTCTTCCCCCTCTGCTCTCAGCATGGTCCTGGGATGATCACATACAGTGTCTTGTTATTTCTTCACACTTTAAAGAATTACTCCCAATTGTGTCTATTTCTGACCTCTGCAGAGTCATTTCTGCTGGCTTGCTGTTTATTTTTACTTCATCAAGTTACAATCAACTCTAATTTACATGCTTAAAATGAATTCTTCATCTTCCTCCTCAAACCAGCTCCTCTTGATTTTCCATATTTGTACTAATGGTTGTGGTTCTCTTCATAAACACAGTTGGAATTCTTGCCTCCTCCCAAATCCTTCATCTCCCAAGTCCTGCCAGTTTTCCTGTTGATTTCTTTGCTGTCTCTGTCCCTTCCTCTTCATTCCTACCACACACACCTGCCTGAGTCTAAGTCTTTATTCCTTCTTGCCTACAAGGACTAAAAACCAGTTGCTGTCGCCCTGACTAATGGTGACCTCGTGTGTGTCAGAGTAGAGCTGTGCTCTGTAGGGTTTTCAATGGCTAAATTTTTGGAAGTAGATTGCCAGGCATTTTTTTCCAAAACACTTCTGGGTGGACTTGAACTCCAGCCTTTTGGTTAGCAGTCAAGCACATATTGTTGTTATTGTTGTTATTGTTGTTATGCGCCGTCGAGTCGGCCCCGACTCATAGTGACCCCTCCTTGGGTTTTCGAGTCAGTTGTTGTTGTTGTTGTTATGTGCTGTCGAGTCGGCCGACTCATAGCGACCCCTCCTTGGGTTTCCGAGGCAGTATCACTACGGAAGTAGGATTGCCCAACCTTCCTTCCTTCCTTCTGATTAGCAGTCAAGTGCCTTAGGCACTATGCTACCAGAGCTCCCCAAACACATATTAGAATTCATAAATCATCTCCCACCCTCCCCACCAGATTTCCAGTAATAAAATGTCATTCAGAGCATTCCTCTCTGCTCAAAATCTTTAACTATATCCCTCTGTCTAGAGCTGTGTAAGAATCACCTGTTTGTTTAAAATGCAGATACCTAGGGTGGCTCTTGGGAAGACTTTCAAAATGCTGGTTTGCAAAGTTCAATCTAGATGTCTGAGCGTGAATTTGAGACCCCACCTCTTTTACCCTCTCCCATTCTGAAAGCTTCTCTCTCAAGCAAATTAGGCTTCTCACTACTCTCAACCGTGACTTATTTTTTCCCAGTTCTGTGTTTTTGAACAGAGAACTGGGAAAAATAAGTCATGGTTGAGAGTAGTGAGAAGCCTAATTGAAGTCACCATTCTGTACCTCTACTATATCCTCCCATTTCCTAATTTTGAGTATCTTATCAGCTTCCAATGGTTTCTACATCACTCCAGCCTGACCTTTCTTTACGCTGACCGTTTATTTGGCAATTAATTATGTACTGCCTTTTGACCTCTGTGTATTATTGTTTTGCATTATTAAGTTTGGTTTTTGTCTGACTTTTCAACCAGGTTGTAAACTCACAAAAGGGAGAGACCTTATGTTAGACTTTATTTGGAGAGAGAGGAGCAAGGTCCTTTTAGTGTCTTGCCTAATAGTTTATATACAGAAAATAATTAACTGGTTTCAAGGAGATCATTTTGTGACTCTCACTGTTTTGATAGGTTACTGTGACCTGGCAAAATTTTCCACACAAGACACTTGGAGTTTAAAGAGCTAAATAGCCTGAAATGCAACATGTGGATCTTGCTATAATCTGTCCACAGTGCCTTTTCTGAAGCTGTTTATGTATAAAAAAGGATTTAGGAATGCTTGCTTGCTTTATTTTTTGAAATCACATGACAGTTTCTGATAGTGTAAGATAACCAAGCAGTGTGACTCAGCTGCTTTCTTGCTGATCATCTGGTTGAGCAACTAAGGTATATTTTATGCACTAATTTTTTGTTTGTTTAATTTCACATTGAAGTTGAACTCTTTAGACCTTTCGGCGAAGGCTACAGAGTATCCTTGAATTTGAGTGGTACCGTAGTTGTAATAAGGAGCTCTGGTGGCATAGTGGATAAGGCATTTGACTGCTGAACAGGTCAGTGGTTCAAACCCACCAGCCACCCTGTGGAAAGACAATGGGTCAGTCTACTTCCATAAAGATTTACAGCCTCGGAAACCCAGTGGAGGTCACTGAGTCGGAATCAACTTGATGGCAGTGGGTTTGGTTTAGTGAGTTTGTAATTATAATGGAGCTCTGGTGGCACAGTGGTTAAAACATTTGGCTGCTAACCAAAAGGTCTGAGATTCGAGCCCACCAGCAACTCCGAGGGAGAAAGATGAGGCAGTCTGTAAAGACTGACAGCTTTGGAAACCCTATGGGGCAGTTCTACTCTGTTCTATAATCAGTTAAGTCAGAATCAACTCAATGGCAGTGAGTTTCATTTGGTTTTTTTGTTTGGTAATTATAATTCCTGTAATGAATATGGAACAGATTGAGTTTGAGGGGGAAAAAAAGTGTTAAAATACTTGTTAGTTGCCCTTGAGTCCTGTGACCGTTCAGAACCAGATTGTCAGGATTGCTTCATATTTTGAATCTGAGATAAGAGAACACTCTTGTTACTTGAGCAGGAACAAGCAACTTCTCCAGTTTTGAAATCATGTGACAGTTTCTGCTAGCGTAAGATAACCAAGCAGCGTGACTCAGCTGCTTTCTTGCTGATCATGTGGTTGAGCAACTGTGGTATATTTTATGCACTAATTTCATATCAGTTGAACCCTTCAGGCCTTTCAGTGAAGGCTGCAGACTATCCTTGAACTGAGTGTTAATTATTATTCCTCTGATGAATATGGAACAAATTTAGAGTTTGAGCAAAAAACAAATGTGTTAAAATACTTTTACTAGGTGCTGCTGTTAACATTACTATTGAATCATATCACTTTTTGGAAGCAGTTTGTCAGGTCTGTCTTGCAAGGTGCCTCTGGCTCTTTTGTTTTTTAACTTTTTATTGTGATTTGGGTAAAAGTTTACAGAGCAAATTGATTTTCCATTCAACAATTCATACACATTTTGTTGATGACACTTACTGCAGTTTCTACAGTGTGCCAGCACTCATTCCTTTCCTTTTTGTGTTTCTCATCTCTATTCTTTCTCCTTTCCTGCCCCTTCCTGCCTTGTGAACTTTGTTCTTGGGCAAATGCTGCCCTTCTGATCTCAAATGGTTGATTGTTGTAAAGAATATATACCTGGTGTTAGTGTTCACCTTATAAAAAACTCACTGCCATCGAGTCGAACCCAATTCATAGTGACCCCTCCTTGGGTTTCCGAGGCAGTGTCACTACAGAAATAGATTGCCCAACCTTCCTTCCGAGGCGTGGCTGGTGGGCTTGAACCGCCAGCCTTCTGGTTAGCAGTCAAATGCCTTAGGCACTACACTACCAGAGCACCCCCTAACAAGTGGGTTGCATGGGCCAGGAATCGAACCCAGGGTTCCCACGTGGCAGGTGAGAATTCTACTACTGAATCATACCTGTCTATCGTTTGGCTAAAGTTGAGCCACAGGGGTGTGTTTAGTTCTAGGTCTGAAGAGTGACTAAAGGGCATCGTCTCCGGGGTTCCACCATTCTCTCACAAGCCAGTAAGTCTGGTTTTGTTTTGTTGTGTTGTGTTTTGTTCTATATTTTTCTCCCACTCTGTCCAAGACCTTCTATCGTAATCCCCTTCCAAGTGATCAACAATGGTAGCCAGGCACCATCTAGTTTCTCTGGTCTCAGGGTCGTGGAGGCTGAAGTTCACATGGCTCATTAGTCCTTTGAACTAATTATTTCCATATATCTTTGATTTTTTTCACTATTCTTTTGCTTTGGACTGTCATGTGATTTTTTCACTATTCTTTGCTGCACTTTAGATGGCTAGTCAACAAGCATTTAAGACCCCAGTTGCTACTCACCAAAGTGGGATGTAGAATATTGTCTTTGTGGACTGTGTTATGCCAGTTATATCCCTCTCTTGGTAATTTTGAACCAGTAGCCTTTCAGCTAGGAGCTCTGGTAGTGTAGTGCTTAAGGCATTTGACTGCTAACCAGAAGGCTGGTGGTTCAAACCCACCAGTCAGTCCTCGGAAGGAAGGTTGGGGAATCCACTTCCGTAGTGATACTGCCTCAGAAACTCAAGGGGGGGTTCCTATGAGTTGCATCTAACTCAATAGCAGTGAGTTAGGTTTGGTTTGGTAGCCTTTCAGCTAGTCATCAAATGCTTAACCATTTGTACCACCCAGGGACTCCTAAAATACTCTTACTACAAACAGTTACTTTTATATATGAACCTTTGTGTATGCGTGTGTGTGTGTGTGTGTGCATGCGCTTAGGATTTACAGAAAAGATCAGTCTTTATCCCAGTAGTATTTTTCCCGTGAGTAGAAGGTGATTGTTGTACGATTCATTGTGTCACGGAAGAACAGTCAAGCTCCCGGGACATTATATATGCAACTTGGTAAAATTTATTGCCTCTCCAGAGACTATATTTCACATGAAAGGGTCTTCATTTTCTCTCTCTGCAGGATAATCCATATGCTACGCTGACGATGTCTTTGGCACAGACAGACTTCTGCAGGAAACATGGCTATGATCCTCAGAGCCCCCTTTGTGCTCACATAATGCTGTCAGGAAGTGTTGCCAAGGTAAATAGTCACCTTGCATGAAGACAGACTGGTCTTAAAAGAGTATCATCCTATTAACAATGGAAGACAAAATCTCTTGAGTGTAAAATGAAGTTGATTTGTGATAGAGTTGCAAAGTCAGACTATATTATTAAGTGTAAAGTAATTCCATGAAAACTAAAGGTTTTAATCAGTTCCTTTAATAACAGATAGTCAATAAGATATTTATGAGGAAAATGAATATCTTCTAAAGCCTAACGTGGTAACTGGAAGACTCCTATTTAAAATTACTCTTGCTGAGGAATATCTACTCAGCTAAAGCCCCATTATACAATATTTCTCATGTCTGGGCTCTTTATCTCTGTATTTTAACAGTGGCTCAGAGCAAAGAGGGTATGAAGTAGGCCAGTAAGAGGAGTATCAGTCACTGCAAACCGGAACTGGATTTAGGCAGTCCTAGTGAGTGCCAGGGAAAGAGGTTAAGCAGAACCATGGGAGGGGCAGTGGGTGCCATAAGCATGGATCAGATTGCTAAGCCAGCAGATTGGCCTCTGACCTTGTCAATCATGAATACTTCAGACAAGTTTTATGTATGGTCTGGAAATCATATGTGGACACATTTGTGCAGCTGAATGTCCTTCCCTGAGGATAAGCTGGAAATACTCTTGATTCCACTGTGCTGCTTCTAAAAATTACTGTCTGTTGTGTACAGTCATCAAATGCTCAAGATCTGTGTGTATAACATATGTGTGTGTGGGTTAATTGTTCTAATGATACAGCCATAAGCACTAGTAAGTAAGAGCTATTGTACGACCTTATACCTGTTACTTCAATGTTGTTGTTGTTGTTATGTGCCGTCGAGTCGGCCCCGACTCATAGCGACCCCTCCTTGGGTTTCCGAGGCAGTATCACTACGGAAGTAGGATTGCCCACCCTTCCTTCCGAGGAGTGGCTGGTGGGTTTGAACCGCCAGCCTTCTGGTTAGCAGTCAAGTGCTTTAGCCACTATGCTACAATAGCTCAGAATTATTTTGTTTAACGATGAACACTGGTACTTGAGATGGTTTTCTACTTTGTTACATCTGCTTTCCCCAACATTTGAAATCTTTATTGCTCCCTTTTAAATGAAAGCTTCCTTTAATTTTTCTTTCCTTTGACTCCGTAAAGTTAAAAGAAGGATTTACAATGAAATAAACTTGTAAGGTTCGTGGAATGCTACAATCACACATTCTTAACAAACGTGACAAAACATGTCAATGTTTTGGGAACATTTACTTCACATTTGTCCTTTAGGTGAATGAGACAGAAACAGACTTTGCAAAGCATGCATTATTTGTTCGACACCCTGAGATGAAGACCTGGCCTTCCGACCATAATTGGTTCTTTGCTAAATTGAATATAACCAATATCTGGGTCCTGGACTACTATGGTGGAGCAAAAATAGTGACACCTGAGGAATATTTTAAGGTCACATTTCAGTAAGTATTTGCTCATCTTTCACCTATCTCATAGAGGGCAGTGGTGGCTCAGTGAGAGACTTCTTATCTTCTGTGCAGGAGACCTGGTTTGATTCATGGTCTGTCAATAGAGGCTTGCTTATTGCTGTCATGCTGTGAGGGTTTCGGTGGAACTTCCAGACTCGGAAAAAGTAGGAAGAAAGGCCTGGCAATCTATTTCTGAAAATCCTACGGATCAGAGTGGTCCAATCACATCCAGGGGGTCGCCCTGAGTCAGGAGCAAACTCAACAGCAGCTGACAACAACAGCACCTTTTTAATAATGCAGCCCTCATCAGTGGTTCTTACTTCTCCAAGGCAGGGGATTATTAACCTTTTCATGTGTCAGGGACTCCTAAGTAGGCTGGTAAAGCCTATGACCCTTCTTAGAATAATATTTTTCAGTGCATAAAACGTGTAGGATTACAAAGGAAACTGATTCCATTGAAATACATTCATAAAAATAGGTCTTTAAAATATGTCATATTATAATAATAAGATCTAGCCATGAGTCTGTAACTCTACTTTCAAGGTAGTAAGGATTATCACTATATGTCATAACTGACTCGATAGCAGTGAAGTCAGGTTTTTTGGTTTTATAGTAACTGTAATTATATATGAAAGTATGTGCGGTTTATATATTACTATTGGTAAAGTCACAAACGTATGAATACCACTGTGATTTATTGCTACATTCATTATTGAAGGAAATTACAATTTTCAATTAGAACTTAATGATGAATTGAAAATGATTTTTTTCTTCCAGATTCAGACACCACTCCCCCTAACTCTGTCTGCAGGTTGGACCTCAGGTTAAAACCCCTGCTTTGAAGCTATGTTTGTGAGGCCTTGGATGGACTTTCTTATTTATTGACTCCATTCAGGGCCTAACAAGCTTCAAAGCAAGAGGGGTACTGGGTTTAACCTAGCCATTCTAGCTCCAGAACCCTTATCTCACTCGTAACTGTGACAATTATACCACCCTCTGGCTACCTGAAGACACAAATGGTTAAATGTTCAGCTTCTAACTAAAAGATTGGTGATTTGAACCCACCCAGTGGCTCTTTGGGAAAAGAGCTTATGATCTGCTTCTGTAAAGATCACAGCCAAGAAAACCCTGTGAGGCAGATCTATTCTTTCACATGGAGTTACGTTGGAGTGAACTAGATGGCACCTAATAACAACAGCTGGTTCCCTCAGGTTGGAGGTGGCTAGGTTTTTAAACTCACATAATTGATAATACATTTTCTCCTTGTAATGACTGACCACTGTTTGGGGAGGTGAGGGTGAAAATCCTAAGATACACTGGTAGGTTGTAGCTTATTATTTAGCTTAAATTCTTAGCATTTATTTATTCTGTGTCATATTCTGTTGTAGAACTGTTCCACTATCATTGTAAATTTCTTGACAACAAAGATCAGAATTTATCATTATTGTTTTTATCCTAATAGGAGCCCTAGTGGTACAGTAGTTAAGTGCTCAGCTGCTAACCGAAGGATTCAAACACCCCCACCACTCTGTGGTCTGCTTCCATAAAGATTTACAGCCTTGGAAACCCTATGGGACATTTCTACTCTGTCCTAGAGGTTTGCTGTGAGTCGGAATTCTTCACAGCACTGGGTTTGGCTTAAGTTTTTGGTATTTTTATCGCAAACAAAGTCAAAGACAGGATGTGGCTCAGAGCAGGCTTGTTACCTGGGCAACAAATTATCAAGAAGGTCGACCAGTAAGGATAATGGTCTGCTCTTGGAGGTTAAGGTTACTTTCTCAGGACTTAACAGTCTCTGAAGTACAAGTATCTTTGTATAAACAACATGCTTAAAAGCAGTGTTTGCTTTAATAACAAGTAAAATTATGTATTACACTATTCTCCACCGTGAATGAGTGAGTAAAATAGATACTTTTGAGAATGTTCTCCATTCCCCCTTTATTATGCAGAGGATTAGTGCTTTTCTGCACCTCTAAGATAAGAGGGAACTTTTCTCCTTGTTCTTCTGAGTGGTGGGTCCCAGGCTGGGCCAGGGTATGACCCCTTCTAGAATCATAGGAATGGACTGTGCCTGAAAACTGGTCTGTGTGGTCAGGTGCTTCTAACTATCCAGCATTTGCCTCTTACCACCATTGAGTCCGAGTAGCAGAATGTTTTGTACTAGGCCTCATTAAATCTCCTCTGGCACATCCAGATGTTTCCTAGCAAAGACAGAGGTGATGAGGGATCACAGATCACACACTTGCCCATTCTTCGTTATCTGGAGATGGGTTTTCTGATTGGGTGAAAGCAGCAACGGGAAACTGGAACGAGGAATTGTAGGTAGTCCCCGACTTACGATAGGGCTCCATACTGATGACTCCATCATAAATCACTTCTGAAGTAAGTTGAATACCTCATTGTTTTTTGTTTTCATTGTTATTGCCTTTTATTATCAGTATCTTTATAAATCTGATCCGGGTTAGCATGAGAACAATAACATCAGCATATAGTACAACATTGATGTTCTGACTGCTGCTTCCATAGGTGTTGATTGTGGAACCAAGTAATATGAAATCTTTGACAACTTCAATCTTTTCTCCATTTATCATGATACTGCTTATTGGTCCAGTTGTGAGGATTTTTGTTTTCTTTATGTTGAGGTGCAATCCATACTGAAGGCTGTAGTTTATAATCTTCTTCACTGAGTGCTTCAACTCATCTTCACTTTCAACAAGCAAGGTTGTGTCATCAGCATATCGCAGGTTGTTAATAAGTCTTCCTCCAATCCTGATGCCATGTTCTCCTTCATATAGTCCACCTTCTCAGATTATTTGCTCAGAGTACAGATTGGATAAGTATGATGGAAGAATACAACCTTGACGCACTTCCTTCCTGATTTTAAACCATGCAGTATTTCCTTGTTCTGTTCAAATGACAACCTCCTGGTCTATCTATGTACAGGTTCTTCACGAGCACAATTTAGTGTTCTGGAATCCCCATTCTTTGCAACGTTATCCATAATTTGTTATGATCCACACAGTAGAATGCTTTTGCATAGTCAATAAAACACAAGTAAACATCTTCCTTGTATTCTTTGCTTTTAGCCAAGATCCATCTGACATCAGCAATGATATCCCTTGTTCCACATCCTCTTCTGAATCCAGCTTGCATTTCTGAAAATTTCTGTCAGTATACTGCTGCAACTGTATTTGAATTATCTTTGACAAAATTTTACTTGTATGTGTTATTAACAATATTGTTCAATGATTTCCACATTCTATTGGATCACCTTTCCTTGAAATGGATACAAATATGGATCTCTTCCACTCAGTTGGCCACGTGACTGTCTGCATCTGTTTGTTGAAACATCTCAGTTGAAACATCAATTCTTGGAGCCTTGTTTTTCATCTAGTCCTTCAGTGCAGCTTCAGCTCCTTCCCTCAGTACCATTGGTTCTTGATCATATTTCACCTCCTGAAATAGATAAACATCGACCAATTCTTTTCTTTTTTGTACAGTGACTTTGTATTCCTTCCATCTTCTTTCGATGTTTCCTGCATTATTCAATATTTTGCCCATAGAATCTTTCAGTATTGCAACTCAAGGCTTTAATTTCTCCTTCAATTCTTTCAACTGAGAAATACTAAACATGTTCTTCCCTTTAAGTTTTCTAACTCCAGGTCTTTGCACATTTCGTTATAATAATTGACTTTTGTCTTCTTAGGATACTCTTTGAAATCTTCTGTTCACTTTGAAATCTTCTCTTCAGCTCTTTTATGTTGTCATTTGTTCCATTTGCTTTAGCTACTCTCCAAGAGCAAGTTTCAGAGTCTCTTCTGACATCCATTTTGGTCTTTTCTTCTTTGTCTTTTTAATAACTTTTGCTTTCTTCATGTATGATGTTCTTGATGTCATCCCACAACTGGTCTGGTCTTTGGTCATTGGTGTTTAATGTGTCAAATCTATTATTCAGATGGTCTCTAAATTCATGTGGGATAGAATGAAGGTAATTTCTTGGCTCTCGTGGACTTATTTTAATTGTCTTCAGCTTCAGTTTGAACTTGCATATGAGCAGTTGATCGTCTGTTCCACAGTTACCTCCTGGCCTTGTTTTGGCTGAAGATATTGAGCTTCTCCATTGCCTTTTTCCACAGATGTAGTCAGTTTGATTCCTGTGTATTCTGTCTTGTGATGTCCACATGTATGGCCCCATTTTTGTTGTTGAAAAAAGGTAGCTGCAATGGATAAGTCATTGGTCTTTCAAAATTCTATCATGCGATCTCCAGCGCAATTTCCATCACCAAGGCTATATTTTCCTGCTACCAATGATTCTTTTTTGTTTCCAGCTTTTGCATACCAATCACCAGTAATAATTTTGATTGCATGTTTGGTCAATTTCAGACTGCAGAAGTTGGTAAAATTCCTCAGTTTCCTCATATTTAGCTTTAGTGGGTCCGACTCAACGGCACATAACAACAACAACATGTAAATTTGAATAATAGTTGTATTAACAGGTCTTAGTTGTAAGCATATGGATATTATCCTATCACTGACAGCATTGCATTTCAAGATAGAACTTGAAACATTCTTTGTGATAAGATGTTTAAAAAAAAAACTCTGGTGGCTCAGTGCCTATGGCATTTGACCACTAACCAGAAGACTGGCAGTTCAAACCTGCCAGTCACTCCACAGAGGGAAGATGGGGCAGTCGACTTCCATAACGATTTACCTTCTTAGAAACCCAGCGAGGGTCGCTATGGATCGGAATTGACTCAATGGCAGTGAGTTTGGGTTTTTTTAATTTGTAACAGTAAGGTGTTTAAAAAGAAAAGAAACCCAGCGGTGGTAAGTGAGTTTGTCATAACTTGAATGCGTCCTGAGTTGGGGACTATTTGTACTGCTGTTTGCCCTCATGTTTGGCACAGGACCAGGCAGCATTTTGTTCTGTTACACATAAGTTCACCATGAGCCAGAGCCAGCTCAACCGCAACTAACAACTAGTCCTCCTGTCAGGGCTCCATCTGTTCTCAGCTGTGTTTGTCTTTTCAAACTTCATATACTCTCCAGTGTAATAGCTACAGCGGCCACAGGCATAGCCTGGTGGGTGCTCCATCCCGGCAGCAGTTACTGAAATGTGATGTTCTGGGTCACCTGTGTTTGAATCTATTTGGAAGGGAGGGCTGCTTGTAAACATGAAGATTTCTAGGCCCCACTCTAAACCTTTTGAAACCAAGGCTCAGTAATTTGCACTTTAACAAACTCTGGTGATTCTTCAGTACGTTGTTGTGTGTCGTCAAGTGAGTTCTTACAGCGACTCCATGTGACAGAGTAGAACTGCCCCATGGGAGATCCTCGGCTGTAACCTTTACCATCATCATCAGGTTTTTCTCCTGTGGAGCCACTGGATGGATTGAAACCCCCAGCCTTTTAGTTATAGTAGCCGAGCAATTAACTATTGCACTACTAGGGCTCCTCAGTGCACTAAAAGGACTGAAATTAACTCAAAATTGTAAACTTTTAGGTCAGAAATTTCTTTATTTTTCCTTAGAATAAATTAACTTTTAAGCTTGGCCAACTCAGTGTAATGACATAATTCTTTTCCTTTCTCCTCCCCTTTCTAGGTAAAGCAGCATGTGACAAATTTAACCACATGAATGAAGCTTCTTAGAATACAGACTGAAGGGTTTCATGTTTCTCTATGGAGAGCTTCCCCCAAAAGTAGCCAGTTTTCATTCACACGCTGGTGCTGGTGGTTTGCTTGCTTGCTTGTTTACAGAATAGAGTTGGACTGTTACTAGATTTCTTGAAGGATGTGGTTGCTGCCATTTTCATGGAGAAATATCTTTCATTAAGATCAAAGAAGTCTTGCTCCATCAATTCCAAATATTTTTTCCAGCACTGCTCAGATTTCGATTAACCATTCACATTCCTAGGTGCTTGTTCTTGATTGCTAGAAGCCGCTCTGCTCTGAGAGAGTGCCCAGGCCTGGGGCAGAGGGATTGACTCCTGTTGCAGTGTGCCTGAGTAAGCCTTGCCAGAACCAACAGCAGACATCCATGAAACACAAATAGCACCCCCTACTCGTGGTCGGCTTATGTGTGATGATCCTGGGTATTGTTGATCCAGTACCAGGCAAAACTATTTGTCACTAGGAACTTTTTTTAAAAAATTAAAATCTAAAATAATAATTACTCAGAAAAAAGGATTTTCACCAACTTTTCCTGAATTTTATATTCCCACCTTTTTAAACAAACAAACTGTATAATCGTTCTCTCCATTCAGCACACACACACACCACACGCACACACACATTCTCTAATTCATAAGCCGCAAAATGAGATTAGGTGCTCTGGTGGCATTGCGCCTAAAGCTTTTGACTGCTAACCAGAAGGCTGGCAGTTCAAGCCTACCAGCCGCTCCTCATTAGGAAGACTGGGCAATCTACTTCCATAGAGATACCACCTCAGAAACCTAAGGAGGGGTAGCAATGAGTCAAAATTGACTCGATGGCAGTGAAAATGAGATTGCAGAAGAAAGAGAAGATAGAGAATGCTGGGCTTACGCTTTGGTCTTCTTTCCAGTTAAAGGTAACGTAGATGTGGCACAGCGTCAGTCAAGGTCAGGATCGCCCTCTCCCAACCACTCTCCACAGCTTTTAATTCTGCTGCTCTCAGCAATGCAGGAAGCTCCCTTCCTGCTGTGAATCTCTGCGTGGTTCCTAATGCTGCTGCTGCTACTTACTCAGGTCCTGGGGATGGTAACATGGCATTAAAAAAAATAACATTGCTTCCGTAAAGGAGACAGAATTTAGTTTTACTACCTTTATACGTGATTTCAGAAGACAGTACAAGATTCTTCTTGAAAAGGTGTGTCAGGAGGGATCAAGCCACTGAACTCTTCAATGGCAAAGAGGAAAGAAGTTGAGTCATGATGTTGGAAAACTACAAAACAAATCCAGCAAACAGCTTCTGTTTAAAAAAGATTTATGTTACAGTTAGTAAAATGGATTTCTTATTCAAAACATCAATGATTAAAAGCATTATTTTCATGAAATGTGTCAGTTTTATTTTCTTAAACATAGATCTAAATCTTTATTATACTCTACCCACTGTCAAACCCTTCTTTTCTGCTTTTATTTTAGCATGCTCTTGAGACAGAAACGTGGCTTCAAAAATTTGATATTGTTTCAAAATTTAAAATGAATAATACCATTAATGTTACCATCTCTCAGTAGTTAAAAAGTTCGTGTCCTGCAATTTTGAGGATGATCACAATCCAGCCTTGGTACCTATCCTGCCTCAGGCCCTCCAATGCCAAGTTCCTTGTGATTGTATCAGACTGAGACATCTTTTATTTTTCTTTCTCTCTTTACCATTTATTGTGAGTTTTGTTTTTAGCCTTTGCTGCCACATAAAAGCATCTACATTTAGGTAAGATCCAGATGTCTTACAGAGTGAAATCAACCAGTTTTTCACAGCCAGTTCTGCAGATATGCACAGTATATCACGTTACATCTTGATTGGCCACTGGAGGGCACTGCAGACTACTTTTTGTGCAGATGGCAGCTGTCCTGTACAACTGAGCTAATCAAACCTTTGCAGTAACACTAATGTGTCCGTTTGGGTCGGTAGCCTAGAGGAAGTGACATTGGGATACTAGTGCAACAGGAGAACTAGAAGCGTGATTTTAAGCTGCTGTAGATGGGCTTTTATGGATTTATCCCTCTCATATATAACTTTGGTTTCTGGCCCCCCTGTATCCCACCTACAAAAGAGCTCTGGCCTTAGCCAGAGATGGGATGAGTGTCTTAAAATGGGGCTGTCTTTGGCCCAGAGAGCAAGGCAACAGTCCCTGGTCAAGAAAAGATAAAAGTAGAAAGAGGATGTGGCCAAGGAGGCTGAAGCTACAGTTACCCAGATAGCTGTCTTGGCCCTGGATCTGTGTGCTCTGTTGATCAAGGTCATTCATCTTTACCAAAGCCTGGCCAAGACTCAGTATTCTGCTTCCTAGTTCAAGTTCGCATTTTTTGCAAATATGTAGTGGGGTGCAGAAAAATCCATTATGAAATAAGGCAGGTTTGATGAAATGAATAAATAGAATCTGACTAGAGGTTCCTGTGTTGTGTTTCCTTCCTGGTAGACTGAAGGTCACATGATAATGGAAGAGGAGACCATACCTTCTGGGGCATGGCTTTCAGTTCTAGTGCCAACATAATGCTCTATTTTGTGTAAAGCTAGTTGGTCAATGTTTTTCAGAGGAATTAAGAGCTGTCACTTTAAAACCAAGTGTTCTGTAAAATTTTATTGAAGGAGACAATTACAGCATTAGTTCTTTTTTGAATTATGGAGGATGTCAAGGAATAAAACTTTAATCTCATTTTATCCTCTATTTTCAGACTAATATGTATATATATGGTCACTATGAGTCAGAATCGACTTGATGGCAGTGGGTTTGAGAATATTTGTGCAAAAATGTGGAAAACAGTTAAAAACTTACAACCTCACCAGCTAGCATGGCTGTTAGAATTTTTGTGTATTTTCTTCAGGAAAAATTTTAAACATAAATTTAACTCATTCTGTATATTGTTTGGGTTATCTTGCTTTTCGTTTTATCATATGCTTGTTATAGGAGTGCAGAGTATTTCATTAGATGGTTATACTCAGGCTCCCAATTAATATTCTGTATTAGGACTCTTGCTATTGATAGACAATCCAGGTGGTGGTGATTTTGGGATGCCATTGGTCAATTCTGACTCATGGTGACCACATATGACAGAGAACTGCCCTGTAGGGTTTTCTCCTCTGCAGTCTTTACAGAAGCAAATTGCTAGGTCTTTGACCTGGGGAGCCACTGGATGGGTTCGAACCACCAGTTGAGCAGTTGGCGGTTAGCACTTAACAGTGCCACCAGGGCTCCTCAACTCAAGGTGGGGTGGTGTTTTTAGGTGCCACCAAGTCTGTTCCAACTCATAGTGCCACTGTGTACAACTGAATGAAACACTGCCCAGTCCTGTGCCATCCTTACAATCATTGCTGTTTGAGCCCATTGTAGCCACTGTGTCCATCCACCTCACTGAGGGTCTTCCCCTTTTTCACCGACCCCTCTACTTTACCAAGCATGATGTCCTTTTCCAGGGATCTGCCCCTCCTGATAACATGTCCAAAGTAGGTGAGATGAAGTCTGGCCATTCTCACTTCTAAGGAGCATTGTGGCGCCATAATAGTTTATTAGTCTCGAACTATTCCTTTAGAATTTGGTCTTCATTTCCTGTTATTTCCTGGCTCCCCTTTCTTTCCCTGGTGTGGGTTATAGTGATTGGTCCTTGCAGCCAGCAGCCTCAGTGCATCATTCCCAGGAACCTAGCAGAGTCCCAAGGCTGATGTGTGCGGCCAGCAAGCTCTAGCCTTTCCTGAGTCATCACTGTGGCGTGGAGTGGGATACTTTTGTTGGCCAGGACTGGGCCATGTATGTGCCTTTCCCTGGAGTTTGGGGGTTCAATTCAGGACCATCAGAATTACAGGGACTGAGAGGATTTTGAAGAGTGGGCTCCTGAAAGGAAAACAGATGTTATGTTACCTGAAGGGATACTGGACAGGAAAAAAAACGAGAGCTCTTGCCACTTTCCCCTGTTGTTGAAATTTAGGTTAACTTTGAACATTCCAGGTTTTCCCTGTTATAAGAAAATCTTTGTGCATGGAGTATTTGCTGTGTTCCTGTTCAAGAGATTCCCAAGATGGAATTCCCAAGCCATATTTGGTATGTGGTACCAAATTGCTTAGTTCTAACTCATCAGCCATTCCACAGGAGAAAGATGGGGCAATCTGCTTCTGTAAAGGTTATAGCCCTGGAAGTAATGAAATAAGTCTACTGTGTCCTAGAGGGTCACTATGAGATGGGAACTTTTTTTTAACCAAATTGCTTTTAAGGAGTTGCATTAGCTAAGACTCGTGAAGGCAGTGTGTGAACATGTTTATCCACTGCACTGGATTTGAAAGGTAATACTGTTGTGTTATTTTTAATCACTAATTCTTGGGTTACTGGTGACTTTGAATATATATATATAAATCTCTCTTTCTGTCCCTCTTCCTCTCTCTCTCTCTCACTCTC